GCTTAACCTCCCTGTGCCTCAGTTTCCTCATTTCATTAGGGGCTTGATAACTGTACCAACACCAGGAGAATTGGGGAAGAGTAAGTGTGAGGGTTAGGAGAGGGCTGGGCAGGTGACAGGTGCGAGCTAAGTGTCAGATGCTACTGCTCTTTCTGACCTTTCATTTACTACCCACGAAGAGGATAAGAGATACCTCCTAAAAAAGACAAAAGCAATATGTAAGTGCAGATTGCCTGTAAGTTAACCAACAATCATACCTGTGACCTTACAAAGCCTATAAATGGGGTTTCTAGCCAGTTAGAATACCTGAGGAAAATAGCCTTAAGTTTGAATTTTGTTCAAATTTCTAAAGCCCTAAATATACACATTTATAAAAGAACTTCAATTGCCTAGATATGTCTCACTGGAAAAAAGAAGCCTTAATCGATCATGTAAGATAATAAGATTTCTCACTTATAGGGAAATAAAGTACTATTTTCAAAGGACAAAAACATACTCAACCACCTTAATATTCCAAGCGCTACATAAATAACATACACTAAACAGGCCTTGCTGTTATCCCTCCCTGAAGCAGTACAGGTTTTTTAGGGCACCACTTTGAAGGAATTAAATTTCTATTAAAATAAAAATAAGAGACCAGGGTTAAAAATCCCCCATCCTGAAAAAGCCAGATATGCCACACAGCAAAACTTCATGCAGCTTACTCCTTGAACATAAGTAAACTTAACTTAGGTTATTCCTTTGTAAAAGCCTCTGACAACCACATAAAACAAATCATCTTCCTATAACGGTGTAAGGGAATCTGTTTTAATCCATCCCTGCCATCTGGAAACCCCATTGTAATAATTACTCATTGTAAAGGTTGAACAACTTCTTCATTTCCACTTGAGAAGCCGTCCCATGAGCCAGGCCTCCGAGCTTCTTACCACCTGGGTGAAAGTCTTCCCTGTAGCAAGCTGGGAAGCTGGGCTCTCTCTTGGATGATGTACTTTCAAATTCTCCTAACTTGATCTGCTTTTATTTTTGACACTTCCCAGTTTGAAACACTATCTATAGAGGTGGCGGTAACTTGAGTATACCCACTATCGAAGTTGGTGAGCTTAAGCTACAATCTAGCTTATTTTTCTCTTTTTAAAGAAAATTATTTCTTCTGTTTTTAAGAAATAGCATCTTGTTAAAATGACTGGATATTTACACGAATTGTTTTTAATTAGATGAAACTGTTTCATCTGCCAACCACTTACTTTCCCCTCAGACTGTTGGCAGTTTGGGTGAAGAGTCCTAGACAGAGGGACGGGAGGGCGTCCAACCTGTTGAAATGGCATCCGGAACCAAGAATGGAACCTGGCAGGTCCAGCAAATTTACCACCAGCTTCTCAGTGCAAGAAAGTTCAAAAATTCTAACTTTAGTGCTAAGTTTAAAGAGACCAAATAACAAAAGTAGTGATCCCTACAGTAATAATCCTGAAAATCAAAAATTCACCAGGAAGAAAATTCGGATGAGGGCAATAAGGGATTTGAGTTAAGAGAGCAAGTTCCTGAGTCAGAGACTTAGACTTAAATTCTAGCTATAAAGAGAAGCAAAATGACTATTTTCTATATAGAAAAGGAAATAGTATCTGTGTCTGTGGGTTGTTGAGAAGGTTCAATGAGATAATATATCCAAGATGCTCAGCAGAGTACAGATGCTGTGAACTGAATGCGTGGGTCCCCCCAAAATTCACAGGTAGAAACCCTAACCCCTAAGGTGATAGTATTGGGAGGTAGAATTTAGGAAGCAATTATGAATAGATGAAGTCCTAAGGGAGGAGCCCTCAGAAATAGGATTAGTGTCCTTACAGGGGTCCCTAAGGGCAAAGAGTGGCGGCTTCCTCCTGTAATACTAGCACTCTGGGAGTCCAAGGCAGGTGGATACCCTGAGCTCAGTAGTTCAAGACCAACCTGAGCAAGAGCGAGACCCCACCTTTAATAAAAGCAGAAAAACTAGACAGGCATTGTGGCAAATGCCTGAAGTCCCAGCTACTCAAGAGGCTGAGGCAAGAGAATTGCTCAAGCCCAAGAGTTTGAGGTTGCTGTGAGCTATGATTTCATAGCACTCTACCGAGGGTGACAAAATGAGACTCTGGGCTCGGCGCCTATAGCTCAACCGGCTAAGGCGCCAGCCAC